AGGAGTCGCATCATTGCACAAAAGCTTGGAAGAAGCTTGGTGATCTTACTACATAGATTAAGGACATTATTCTTCTATAGGAGTCGCATCATTGCACAAAAGCTTGGAAGAAGCTTGGTGATCTTACTACATAGATTAAGGACATTATTCTTAATAGGAATAGCTTAATAAACCGGTCAGTAATCCGTAAGCACTTCCTGGTCTTTTTCTTTATAGACACTCTCATGCACCACTTTGAAAAGCTTTGAAGCTACTGAAGTGCAAAGTGCTTGTTCGAACTTTTCTCACTATCTTAGGTGTTTTTTACTTTTTCGTTCACATCGAACCATACTTGCGGCTCTCACAAGTAGTACCTACACTCACTTGTCACTTTTTCAACACTCTGTTAGTGTATTCTCTTCCACCACACCACATTTTCGATTTGTTATCGGGTCTAGCAGAGGTAGTCACTCAATTCTGAAGAGCGAACCCACTGCTATGATTTCGAGAGCAATATCGATGTTGACTTCTCTACCCATCAAGGCTCACCCTACTTCGAATGTCTACAGTAGGCGCCTGTCATTTCTAGACCAAGCAAGCTGGTCCTAACAGGAGATGAAGAAATACGGTGGTATACGTGATTTAGCTCGTGATTATGAAATAATTTCGCAAGCTAAGTGCTGCTTCATTGCTGTACACAGATGTGGACCTTCTTTCTTTGTCTTATTACCAGATTCCTTTATGACTTTCTCAATTGTCTCCATTCCTTCGATTTGTCATGAATCTAACAGAAATTCATATTACTTTGTCAGAAAGCTATGTCAAGCAGTTTATAGACGTGTCCAAAGTGCAAGAACGTCATTATGCGAAGGAATCTTTATTCCCACTTTCGCGTTGTGCACTTCTACACCACTGAGCAAATAGAAGAAATGAAAGCCAACGTGGGACGCGAAGCACCTGGTAAAAGGGAGTCCGTTTTTTGCCCTATTTGTGAGGAGCGCTTTCGACAATCACGAGCGTTTTGCGATGCACTGTCAGGAGGAACATGCTGAAGACGGAGCAGGTGGAGAGCCGCAGGACTACACAGTTTTTACGCTCTTTTTTGGAACGAAGCGAGAGTTTGACGTGAGTTTGCAGGACTGTGGTGCAATTTTCCTCCTTTCTTCTGGTCTAATACCCTATCCTCTGCGAATAAGACATTCTAGGCATGGCTAGAAGAGCAGCAAGAACATGGTGGCCGCAAGTTTTTATACGCGAGACAGCTCAAAGTCTAAAGGAATCACAAGTTTAAGGTGCACAATAAGTTGTCTTCTTACATACGAGCCTCCAGTGTAATCACTTATTTATAGATGCAATAAAGCAGGCAAGTGCACTAAGCAGACCGAAACCGGCGCCACACACACGCAGAGGGACGTTCTGCACTGCTCCTGTTTCCTTAACGTTAAGGTAGAGGAGAACGGTGCTGTAAGCGTCAAGGGCTGCTTGGGCCATGTCGGCCATACAATCGAGTCTGCCCTCCTACGCCTAACTGCGGCTCAGCAACTTTTCCTGAAAGGACTTTTAGAAGGTGTGTTACGCGATGTAGCTAGATATTCGCCTTAATATTCATTTTCAGAGTACTCTCATGAGTACATCATAAGGCGGCTCAGGAAAGGAGTACCCCGCCAAAACTTCGAGATTGCATTTTGTTACCAAAGGGGACCTTTGGAGAATTGCAAATCGTTTCGGTCTAAGACCTGGATATCGTCACAAGGATGATATGCTGTCCTTGGAGCAACGGGCGAAAGAGAAGAATCCAGACGATGGCATTCGGCTCTTGGAGATGCCTGTGAACCCTACAGGAGAGGGCGTCCGACTGACTGAGTGAGGACTACCTGGGTTGTAAGGAATTTGCACACTTAAAGATTATTTTCAGTTATCATTACACCCCAACAAGTGGAGTGGTTGCAGAAATTCTCTCATAGAGGAATTTCTGTTGACGACACCCACAACGCCACGCGTTACAATCTCAAGTTGGCAACAGTGATGGTGCTGAATGAAAGAGGATGACGATGACCTCTATGGATGTGGAAAAACTTTTCCAAGAAAATCGGAGTAGCACCCGCAGTTTCGATTCCCATGCAAATTGTCACCGACGAAGCACCGTGCTTCAATAACGGCTTTAGTTCGGTTTTCCCCAAATTCGCGTGCTAAGTTACATTATTGCAGATGGCACATTGACAGAACCTGGCAGAGAAACGCGAGCAAATTTGTTGAAGTTGGCGAGTCTATTCTTTAATCTTTTCGCAGCAACGATCTCATATTTCAGCCTCGGGTACGCAGCCAAGTGAAGAAGAGGTTGAAAGGTCTTCTAGTGGTACACGACTTACCCACATTTGAACAACGGAGGTTCTTGCTTCCTTCATATGGAGGCCAAGACAGGATGGAGGATTACCTCAGGCGTAATTATTTAGATCAGCTCTACTTAAATTTGACACGAATTTGGACTAAGTCTTCAGAGGTTCATTTAAGGCGATAACACGCAAAATAGGCATCGTTTTCCATCCCGAATGCGGTAATGAACACAACGCTATGATTAGCGAAAGGTGGCACTTGCGACTGAAAAGCGAATTTCTTCACAGAAACGCCAACACATGAGCAGCGGACTGTCTAGTTGATGCTTTCTGATTACTGCCGCTTGAGGACACCGTCACCAGTCGCATGAGAGAGTCAAGTGTATTACATCACATTATCTCATTTTATAAGAAATAACGGCCAACCCTATTAAGGCACCCGCGACTTATCGTATGTCCCCCTACGCGTCCAGCAACCGCAATTTGCCATCGCCTGGCCGAAAAAGAGTGGGAATTCAACCGTCTCAGAATCAGGCAGTTGAGCTCCGAAACATGGGGACTGTATTCCGTGAAAAAGTACGGAAGTTTACATTACAACGACGTATGATTGGCGAAATGCAGCTGACTCTGCGGAGCAGCAACGTTCATTGCCACTCTTGTGCTAGCATTTGTCCTTACGCTTGGTCGTGCTCATGTACGGACAATAGAGCTGGAATAACGTTGCATCCATCGCCACGCAGTAATGCTTCACAGTAATCCAGCAAACAAGCGGACAATAGACACGAGCGCACCAACCAGTACCTGAAGGAGCAAAGTCCTAAAACAGGACTGCCTGAACACTGCACAGCACACTTGACAGAAGTAAGCGCTGCTCAACAACGAAGAGAGGAAAGGAGTCAATTGAGGAACTCCATACATATGGTGAGTGTGCCTTTCAACAGCCTACGCTCCTACGTTACAGATTATAGGCTACAAGCAACATACCATAGAACATGGTATGAGACCTTTCCAGAAAATCTCCGTTATTGAGGCTAACGTAAATGCGTTAGTCAATACGGACACCGGTAGAGGCCAGAGAACAACTCGAACAAATCCACGACATGATCGACAAAGCTTCGCAAATTGGAGCAACATCACTGACAGGAATAGCGGTCCGGCCGGAATTAGCAAAACCGGGAGGGAAACCAAAGCAACCCAAAGTAGAGCTTTACACTGTGAGAAATTTCAATATTTGACCCAATCAATGTTGTTATTCCATTGAAATTAGAAATACTCAAACATAATGAAATTTTGCAGCTAAAGCGAGGCCGCACTGCCAGAGGTGGTCCATCACACGAATGATCCGATTCCGACGCTCAAAATTTGTGATGCCATCTTTCACACCATTTACCTCAGTAACAGTTACCGCAAAATATCAGAAATGATAATTGTATATATTGTAAATAATTACTTGTCTACCGCACATATTCCAAATGAACATGTTTTGTAAAAAGTTATGTGTACACTTATGATAAAGCTGCACCAGTTGAAGGGGGCTTGAAGCTTACGGCACGAATTGAAACGGACACAAATCATAAGGTGTTTGGCCACATTTCACTTCACACCGAAAACTATACACTTGGGCATGCAACAGGGAATAACGGAAACACAGGTAATATAGGAACAAACCGTGCAAAAGAGGAAGTACAAAAAAGTACAAAAAAGAAGTACAAAAAAGTCGAAAAACTGACGAACAGGCGTGAAGTTGTCTTATATAGGCAATTCTGGCGCGAATAACCCCACAGCTATTGATCGGGATGGGGCGGGGCGAATAGAGTTGGCAAAGTGCCGGTCGGTCCCGCCACGCGCATGTTGGCAAATTGCCGAAGTCGATCTGTGCGAAAAAATGGCGCCGGCACTAACCCTCATGGAATTGGGAAAAAGAACTGAGTGCATCACCTGGGCTGGTGACGGTAGGACGCGCGCGTTAACTGGAAATACCGTGCGGTTACGGGCATGAGCTTCCTCTGAGAGTATGCTGTCCAGAAAGCGTCGCGACAGTAAAAACATTACGGATCTGCAGGTAAGCTGAATTAAGTCGCGAGCAGAATCGGTATCTGCGTAATAGGTAACACTAGTCACTTAGTTAGCGAAGCAGCTGCAGAGAGTCACGTAGCTTGCCCTCACTTTTCTTTCTATAGGACTGTTAGACTGCTCGAAAATACCATCAAAACGGTGTCAGGTGGAAGTTGGGCAACGTAAAACGTTTCCCCTAGTTTGTGACATGATTAATTTGTCGGGGCGGCGAGCGCAGCGCCACCGACGCTCGCGTCCGGCCTGCCTTGCTTTACCAAGCGATGCATCGAGTCAATGACTCGATGTACGAAGGAATCAGCAAGTGTGGGAGCCGGCCCGAGACCCGACATAAACTGTACCTCATTTTCACCACGTGTGCTGAATCAGCGGATTTTTCCCTCAGCAGATTCTTGTTTGGCAACGGGGACGGATAGAAAACCCGCTTGCTGCGATATTTATCAGAAAAATCTAGTTTTGGGTTATGCACAGGCCCCGAAGTAAGGAGGCTGGGCCTAAGGGGAGGGTCGTCGATAAAACGATTGACATCGCTTGCTACCGACGGAATAAATATACATATATGAGTAATAAGCCGTGCGAGCTGTTACATTGGTAAACCCGGGCGGGTATAGAAGAAACCGTTTGATGTGTAGTTATATCGTTGGCTTCTTGAGCAGTAACTCTGCGATGGCGTAAGGATGAACAGTCTGTTGAACAGCTTGGCGACGCACAGGCCGAGACATTCGGCCATGTCTAAGAATTGTCAGCTGAAAACATGGCGCTTTAGTTTTGTGGTTGCTGGGGACTCCAGTTCTATTTTCACGAATTGAAATTTTTTCGATACTGCCTTTGCAATTCCTTCACGATGAGCAGGAAAGCAAAGGACCAGTTTTCTTTGTGTGAAGACCCCTTCTCATGCCTGTCGGTTTTTCCAAAAGGAGTTTCTAGCAAGGTTCTCTGCTACGTCCTCACAAGATGCTATTCAGTATTACTCCCACGGTACCGTAACCCGAAGCGGCGCCCAGTTAATTGTAACTACGCAGTGAACGTACGTATAACACCGAATTTTACGCCGGTACCATACGGAATTGTGCGGAAATTGCGTTGCATTTACTGGCAGTTTTCTAGGAGATACGGAATTTCGTGTAAAAGACCTTCTGAATGAATGGCATATGTGCAGGAGCAAGAGAATTCATACCGCTTAAAACACTTCTTTTTAGCTATTTGCATTTGGAGAATAATTACATGAACATAAAGAGCCGAATTGCTTCTAACTGACTCCAGACCAGAGACAAGTGCTTTCCCAACTTATTCCATGAAATTTAATCGCACGCGTAGTGGTTGCAAAAGCGAATGATGCCACTATCAAACTAATACGCGAAAAAGTAGTGAGGGGCTGAACGCGTGACGTGCACCATTTTTCGTGACTGGTACCATTGGCGCCAGTCTGGCTTGAATTTACCAGTTCGGACTCACTTCGCTACTATTGACTGGTAGTTTAATATTGGAGCGAAAAGTTCCAGGTACTCCGGTCCGATGTGCAAACTCGACTTAGTTTTAATCGTTGCACAAGAAGGTAACTCCAGCGGGTCGGAAATCCTGCGACTGGCCAGTACCAAAATATTACTATTGCTAGACAACACGTTTTTGATGCAAGTTTTTATCATAATTCACCGGACATATGTTTGACGTGTCTATGTTTACGAGAGCGAATTGTGCCGAACAGCTTCCCGTCTCAACTTTGCGGCTCTTCTTGAGTTTTCCTCAGGAATGTTGTTTGTTCTAACTGTAGAAGAAGATTTCACAATTTGCAAGTAGGTTCTGGGAGAAAAAAATTATTTCCAGGTTGAAAAGTCGTAGTTGTGAACGCGACCAACTATTTACATGCAAGTACCACCTATTTCACCTTTCGAGGCGATGAGGCTAATAAGTCCACCACAATTTATTGTTTACTACAGCGAACTTGGAAAGCCGTCTCTATCCCACACTGGTTAGCATCAAGCGTGCAGCACCGTCAAAGTGCTTGAAGCTGTTTCACTTTGTTTCCTTCTTCTCTTTTTTATTTTTCTAGTTGGATGATAGTTAAGTTTTACCGCCATATGTTGTTTGTGTTACCTTGGTTGTTTCTTCTAATGATCCATCTGCATGTGTACATGCAATAAATAAATAAAAAATAAGCAAGGGTAATAGAAAGATGGATCAGGCCTATCCCCACATCGAAGTCCTCACAACGACATCCGAAACACACTCCGTTTTCTTCCACCCAGGAAAAGGAAATCATCGAATTAGTTTCAGCGTCAGATGTAGATGTTTTCAACGCGCCTACGACAGACTTACAATTTAAAGGGCGCCGCTAGAGTTAGGGTACCGTGG